CCCCAAGCCCAGTCTTGGAAGAGGGTCTGAAAGAAAGAGGACTTTCATAAAGCAGAGAGAATTGAGACGAGAGTGGGACTCCAGCTGGAACATGGCATGCATGGGATGGAAGGGTTACTGCTATTATAAGAGGGAACTTGGATGGCAATAAAGCAGGAAAGATTGCTCAAGGATCACAGGCAGCTTCTTAATGTCCTCAAAGATACCCAAGACACAGCCTGCATCCTCAAAGTATCCCTGATCTAGTTTGAGGCAGGAGAGGTGTACTGGGAACTAATTGTATCTATGTTAAGATTTGAGCCAAGTTTCCTGGGAACCCAGAGACTTACATCCTGGAAGATCTAGGTGGGGCTGGGGATTTAGCTCAGCGGCATAAGCGCCTGCGTTCCAAGCAGGCAGTCGTGAGTTCGATCCCTGGTACCGATAAAAACGAAAAAGACCAAAAAAAAAAAAAAAAAAGAAGGGAAAAAAAAGATCTAGGTGTGGATCTTAAAAAGAATTGTATTGGGGCTGGGGATTTAGCTCAGTGGCATAAGCACCTGCCTTGCAAGCAGGCGGTCGTGAGTTTGATCCCTGGTACTGATAAAAATTTAAAAACTTAAAAAAATAATTTTATTAGTTTAACAAAAGGGAAAAGAAAAAATGGCAGGGTGTTTTATTTGTTTTTATTGCTTTTTTGTTTTTTTAATTGACATGGTGGTCAAACCCAGAACACATGTCAAAGAAGCACTGTACCACTGAGTTATACCCCAGCCAAAAGTACAGGCTTTGAGGTTAGAGATTAAGATTCTAACTCTAACTCAACCCACTATGCTATGATCTTAGGGTAGTCACTTTAGCTTCTCATTCTTTATCTGTACAGTGAGAATAATAAGACTTGCTGAGTTTCTTTTGGGGTGAATTGAGACAACTGAAAAACAAACATACAGGCCCATAAACTGCAAGGCAACGTTAAGTAAAGACTAACCATATTCTGGCTGTTCAAGTGACAAAATCTAGGCTCATACATAAGTGCCATGAGGGCAGGGCTGGGTCCTTCTAGCTGGGGACAGTGCCAAGTACGGGATCATTTTCCTGGACATAGGTATCAAAGGTGTTTTGATTCCAAAGGAGCTCCAGCTTGGGAAAGAAAACATACAATGTTTGTCCTCAGTGGCCAATTCTGCCCAGGCCACTCCCGGGGTGCAAGGCTGAGAGATGCAATGGGAAAAAGATGGCTTTCACAGGAGGAGTTGGCCCACAGCATTAGCTCCAGATGGAATTTCAGCTGGAGGCATACAGCAGCAGCTGGGCTCAAAGCAGTAACTGAGGTTTTCTGGACCTCCTCGCTGGATGCCGAATGCGATGCATCTGAGAGAGATGGAGGACAGGTGGTGGGGGCAGAAGGGAAAGCGATGGGACTAGAAGAAGTGGAAGAGAGGTCAGCGGGTAGGGTCACATTCCCAATCTTTTGCCTGGGTGGAAATTTTCAACTAATACTACTCCTACTCGATATCACTATATCTTCACGAAGAGATAAACAGTTTTTAGAACAAAGATAACAACAGATTATTAAAGTTGAATGAGGGGCTGGGGGTTTAGCTCAGCGGCATAAGCACCTGCCTTGCAAGCAGGCGGTCGTGAGTTCAATCCCCGGTACCGATAAAAATGAAAAAGACAAAAAAAAATAAAAAATAAAAAAAATAAAGTTGAATGAGACTTGGTAAAGGAGCTAGCCCAGCATTCCCATTTTATAGCTAAGACGAGGGCCCAGAGAGGTGACGTTCAAAGCCTGAAAAATGAATCCCTAGAAAAAGCAGAACTAGGATTCAAATCTCCTGATTCTCACTACTCCATAGAGCTACTCTAACAAATACACGCAACACTGCAGCGACTTAAGAAGTGAATAAGTTATTTCCCTTTTGTCCATGTAGCATACACAACATGAGTGGCACATGGTCTGGGTTCTCTGGGAAATGGATGCACAAGGAGAGGTGCATGGAGGGATTTGCTAGAGGTGCTTTCCAAGCAACATCGGAACAAAGGGTCATTGCGGGTGCAACAGAAACTATTTAACAGGGAGCTCCAATATCCTTTTAGAATTGCCCCAAATTGAGGCAGGAGAGCCAGGCCTATTTTGCTCAGCATTCCTAATTATTGTGGCATGTTTGGAGGAAGAAGGCGAGACAGCTCTCCTAGAAAAAGAGCAATTCCTAAAGAACTCAAATGCAAGCCATCAACAGCCCTGCTCTCAGCAGCTGGGAGAATAAAGAGTTCAGAACTGCAGGGGGACCCAGACACCTCACCTCAGCACCCACTATAGCCACGCAGGTTTTGGGTGGAGCAGGACCCACAGTCTTGCTCCACAGAGTCATTCAAGAACCCAAGCACTGCTCAACCATCCTTTGGAGACTCATCATCCCCATGTCCAAAGCTGGGTCACTTTCATGTCAGGATTATGTCATGGAAAGGAGAAGGACACCAGCACCAGTATTTTCGTGAACACACCCAGAAGTGGCTTGGTTCCATGGACAGGATTTCAGTAACACGGCCACACTTCACGGCCAGGGAAGCTGGGCACTGTGACCACAATCCTGCTTCCTTGAAAGAATGTGTTAAAAAAAGAAAGCCCTACCCACTATTTATTTTTCACTGAATAAATGTTTAAACTGGTCTCTTGGCATGGTGGGTCTTTGTTTGGGACTGGCTAAATCTCTTCTAGTCTATTTTGTCCCTGAAACCAAATTTTCCCCCAGAGAGAATCACCCAGAAAATGGTCCAAGAGCTATTCAGGGACTTTTGTTCTGTTCAGGAGAAAGCCTGGGTCCTTGAGTTTCTGGTGCCCAAGGAAGTCTGTGGGGCACAGTGACTTTGCATCTCCAGCCCACCCTACATGTGCCAGCGAGGGTGAGCTACACAGGCTCACCCTAGGAATATGGCTTAAATCTTAACTTGAGAAGCTTTTATCGCTCTCCTGAAGTCACCTGATTGGGAGTCATAAGCACATCTTTTCTGGCTCAGCACCCACTCTTCAGACCCCACCTATTTCATATTAGCACCCTATGATCTCACTGCTGCGGAAGAACTGAAGTTGGGGGGTAGGGAACTTCAGTGTTTTCCAACACAGAGGACTTTTGCGTTTTACAACTGTCCTGGCAGAGGTTTGGTCTCTGCCATTCAAAAAGCCTTCTGAGGCTGCCATGATGAAGCATTTTTCATTCTTCCCATTTATAACCTATAGTAATTCTCTAGAACAGAGCTGTAGTCCCTGAATGTCTCTGATTGCCTCCTAGATTTGTCCCAGAGCAGGTTCTATCAGAAAGCAGTCTCCACTGTCTTGGATAGGGTGATTCTTCCTGGGGTACAGTTGACTTTAGAATAGAATGGAAGAAGAGCATATGTTACCCAGCTCCTAACCCACAAAAGATTATTTCTTCCTCCTCTTGTTCCTCCTCCTCCTCTACCTCCTCCTCCTCTTCCTCCTTTTCCTCTTCTTCTTCTTCTCCAGACAATTGGAATCTATGCTCGTGATGCTCCTAACAGTCACACAGGAGTCATTGCTTGAGTCCACAAGGTCTAGGTATGACCATAGGACCCGCTGATCTTGCCTGGGACTCCAGTCACAAACAGGAACAACCAGACCTGTTCTTATGAGCATCCTGCAATGGATCCTGTTTAAAAACTGTTCAGATTTCCTTTGAGCTTTAGGGAAGCAAATTCCCTGAATCAGCATCCGTACTCAGGTTTAGTCAGGGATTTGTAATTTAAAAGGTAGATTTACATCTATGAACTCAATGTTTCCAAAAACTGGTGCAGGCAGCTACTTTGAGAACTGACAGAACCATCCATTGAAGAGCAAGAGAGAAAATATCAGAGCCTCTAAATTATCTTAAATATCCAGAATAAATGAAGCTCTATTGAAGTTTAATACATGAATGGTCAATGCATGCCACTCACAGGAAATGCAGCCTCCCAGGGAACAACAGGAGTTCCACATTCGTGGAGTGCCAGAGTATGCAATCTGGTTTTAACTGAAGTAATGCCTCACGAAGGGATGATACTGCATCTGAAAGTTTCCTGCAAGGAAATCCCAAATGGAAGAAGATAGTAATAACACAGGTAGAGAAGGCAGAGCTGACATGTTCGCTCTTTGCATCCACACTTCTGGACCGAAACAATGAGGACCCCTTCACATGCAATGCAAAGTTAGTCAGAATTCTTTGGAAGTATCACCATTGCTTGACATATCATTCAGCATCATTAATAATAAACCTGATCCTAAGTGTATAATGTGACTTGAGATACTAGCTTATCACATTCATGCACCATATAACTCACAAATATATAAACATATATACATGGCGCAAAGTTTGGTAGATGGAGAACATATTGAAAAAGATGACTGGGCCACTGTCACAGACATCTAAATGATCTTTCATGGCCGCACTGCAAGTGATTTTATTTTACAGATGAGAAAACTGAAACTCAGGATGATGAAAAACTTCCCAGAGACCATCAGCTAATAAGATTATGTGGAAGTGAAGACTGGCCACCAATGCAGCTGGCACCCCAAAGCTGACTGAGCAATTCAGGGTGACATCTGCGGAAATTAAAAAGCAAACTCCCCTCCCATAGCACATGAGTCTTATGCTCTGCCCCATTCTATTCTCAACAGATTATGCTGGGAAAGCCAGCAGTGCTACAAAGCATAGCTCATCCCATCAGCCTGAGCCATCTTGCCCTGAAAACTGTTAAATCCACAGAAACATCACCCCTGAAGGAAAAAGCCAGACATTTGCCCTTAGATGCTTTAAAGACCCTGTCACCCTTGCCATCAACAAACACTTAACAAATGTCACCTTAGTGGATAGGTCTGAAACAGGAAGCAAGCTCACAATCCCAGATGATTAAAGATGATTGCACAAAGAGGGTCTGCTCTTGGCAAATGCTAAGGCTTCTCAAATCCATCCCTTTGCAGGGAGCAATGTTTCAAAGACAGTTTCCCCCCAACACAAACCCTCGATGGGTGGAACTAGCCGTGTCAAGAATGGAAACCCATTTTCCTCTGCAGCAATCCTGCCTGCCTCCCAAAGCTCAGAAATGTGCTGTGCTCAGCGTTCCTGTGTGGATGCAGCTTCCATGGTAGAAAGGCAGGGGCGGCGGTAGCAGCCGCAGCAAAGGCTCTAGGGGGTGGGAATCAGATTGCACCATTTCAACCTCCTCTGGCAGCAGAAGCACCGAGTCACAAGGAGGATGAGGAGGTAGTCCAGAGGCTGCTGGGCTGTGTCACTCTGAAGGTGGTGAGTAAATTGCTGTTCACTGGGGCCTCTGGTTTATGTGCTGCTTTCCCCAGTGAAGATGCTGGGTCTGGGACGGGTGTGTAGAGGTATGTGTGTGTATGTGTGGTGGCTGAACACATGTATGGGCACTTACAGTTTCCCTCAAGAGCCATCTGCAAAGCCATGACTGCAATAAACAAATGGAATAAATAAATAGGATATAGTATTTTGCAGCTGGAGGGGAGAATGCAGAGAAATCATGTATTGTGAGCCCCTTGTTTCGTAGAAAAAGATCTGAGGTTCAAAGAGGTGAGATTACAGAGACTCCTGGGTTTGTAGAGCTGGTATGTAGCCAGGTCTAGAATGCAGTGCCCTGGTTTCTGCCATGAGATTCTTCCTATTGCTCTACATGGGGAGACAGAGACTTCCTCTGTCCCAAGTGACCTGTATCCCTGGGCATGAGACTGAATCCCACAGCTGCAGTGGGAAAGTCCCCGAGACACATCTTGATGTCTGCAGTAAACATGGGAAGCCAGCATGAATTAACTGCAACCAGGGGTGCAGAGCAAAGCAGCAGTGCGTGCTTGCCATAAATCGCTCTAGCCCTAACAGCTACGTCCTCCCCAGAGGTGTTCCCTGGGTCACTTTGCACAGTGTATGTGGCACCTGGAAATCTTCCCAGCAGAGGTGAGGGGCCATGGCTGGAGTCAGAGAGGGGGCTCCATCAATAGCATCCCTGCTTTTTCAGAACAAATATCTGCTGAACGCCATCCCTGTGCCAGACACAGAGTGAGGTACTAGGACATTCTTTATCTCAGGGCTCGTCGCAGCTCCCTACAGCACCGCTCCCCATACCTGACACGTCAGCAGGCTGAGACTGGTAAGGTTAAAAAGCATGAGCTATTTTGAATCTTTCAAAAGTCCTAGCTTCCCCCCACCCCAAGAATCATGATTTTCAAAGAGTTATTTTTCTATGATCCTCTCAGCAGTATGAGTTTGCCTCTGAAATGGAAGAGAATGTTCTCTCCCCCATGAAAAGCAATTATCTACACCACCCTGGATCACACGTGTCATCAGGGCAGGGGAGATGGTGTTGAACGTTCGCACATCTTGACTCTCAATTAGACAGCACCTGGGCCTTTGGGGGTTCTCGGGGTTTTTTTCCTATTTCTCTGGGGTTCTGTCATGTTAAGATTATGCAACGTGCTTCAGAAGTTTGGCTTCTGAAACCATCTTTTCCCCTGCCTGTTTGATCTAAAGTAAGTACCTTCTTCCTTTGGTCTCACTCGTGCTTTTTCACAGCACGCCGGATGTAGGGCTGGCAGTGGAAGGAATTTTTTTTTTTAATCGGTACCGGGAATCAAACTCATGACCCTGTGCTTGCAAGGCAGTCACTTATGCTGCTGAGCTAAATCCCCAGCCCGGAAGGAATGTTTTTCAAACCTGGAAAGGTCATTGGCTGACAGGGACAGTTCTTCTCAAACCCCTTCAATAGTGCCCAGCAACAGCACCCTGTCATCATGAGTTCAAATTATTTTGAGCCAAGAGGGAACCTGGGGGCTGTAATCCAGCACTCTGGGAGGGTGAGGCAGGAAAGTTGCAAGATCAAGTCTCACATAGGGAACTAAGTAAGACCCTGCCTCAAAATTAGACACTGTGGTGTCTAATCAGTCTTCCATATCACAGTAACCTGAAGCATTTGAGAAAAACTTAGACTTTTAGTTGATAGAGAGCCAACTGAAATATCATTAATAAAATTTTAGTTTTAGGAAAAATTGATTTGATGTCCAGCTTTGTTACTATTAGGCATATTAGCTTGGGCAAATCACTTCATCGCTGAGTTTGGTTTTCTCACAAAATGAAGGTGTTAGACTAAATAATTTTCAAGTTTCCAGTTGGTCCTAGAATTCTATATTTCTGCACAATTGAATTATATTTTACCATGCTGTTGCTGGGAAGTATCACTAATGCTTTTGAAGCTATTGACTTTTTGTTGAAAATCCATAATTATTATTTTCAGAAAATACTTGACCTGCAATATGTCCAAATCCATTTAAACAAATCACTATATAACAAGAAAAAAATGAAAAATCACACACATGCACATACACACACACACACACAACACACAACAAAAGGGCAGGGGACATGGCTCAGTGCAAAGAAAAGAAAGAAAGAAAGAAAGAAAGAAAGAGAAAGAAAGAAAGAAAGAAAGAGGAAACCTGGCAATTTAGCATGACCTAGTAAAACATACCAATAAGTAAGAAAGCAGAAAAGTCTTTGAACAAGGTTGCCAGCACTCAAGCAAATGCCGAGGTCCTGCAGGTGACTGCACTACGCAGGCCGCTGCCCAGAGCTCTGGCTCCACAGCCCTCAGGGGACTGAAGTTTGCCAAAGGCGCCACCTCCTCAAGGAAACAGTCCTGGTCCTGGGGTGGGTGGCACCGCAGCCCAGCCCACTATCCTCCGCCTGTCAGTTTTGTCTTCCTCCCTCCTTTCTTCGTTCTTACCCTATTTTTCCTTTTAACTTCTTGTGTTAGACACTTAGCTGTCTAACCTTTGGCCTTTCTTCTCTACTAACATCAGTATCCGAAAGCTTTGAGTGCCCCGTAAGTATCGCTGTAACTGCATGATGGCGTTGTGATACCTTGTTGTTTTCTTGTGTGGTTTAGTTTTGAGCTTTATCGAGGAGAGTAGAGCAGCAGTAAAAGCTTGAGCCCAGGGCCTTTCAGCGAGATACATCTCCATCCTTTTGTGAAACAGGGTCTGCTAAAGCACTGGGTTGCCCAAGGCTGGACTTCAGTTCCACGGTCTTCCTACCTCAGCCTCCCAGCGTGTTGGGATTACAGACGTGCCATCATGCCCAGCTGATACATAATGTTTTAATTATGAGGACATTATTTCTTTTTGAACTGACAAGTTATTTAACATGTCTTCCTCCCCAAAATGTATGGAGAGAAATGTGTGTGTTGTTTTTTGTTTTGTTTTGTTTTGGCAGGGGGCTGGTAATTCCAACTAAATTATGTTGCTATTAAACAACACAGTACATATGACGTCATGTCTTAGCATTTGCTGAGCTTTCTTTTGTGGCGAGGATACATTTGAGTTTTATAAACGTCCCCTGTGTACCTAAAAATGTCACTTTTGTAAGTACTAATAAGAGATTTCTCCAAACTTGTTTGGTTTCCAAATTTCTTGTTGTTTTGTTTTTGGTACCCAGGATCAAACTCATGACTTCATGCTTGCCAGGCAGAAGCTTATGCCACTGAGCTAAATCCCCGGCCCCAAACTTGTCTGTATCAGCATGTTGTTCCAATATTCCACAGCTTTTCTTTTTTTTTTTTTTCCTTTTCCTTATAGTCTTGTTTTGTTTTTGTGGCACCTACAACCTTCACACTGAGCTATAACCCCAGACTTTTTTCTTTTCTTGAAGGCAGGATTTCCTTAAGTTGCCCAAGTTGGGCTTGAATTTGTGATCCTCCTGTCTCAGCCTCCCAAAGTGTAATTTTTTTTTTTGTCTTTTTCGTTTTTTATCGGTACCAGGGATCGAACTCATGACCACCTGCTTGCAAGGCAGGTGCTTATGCTGCTGAGCTAAATCCCCAGCCCCTCAAAGTGCAATTTTTTTTTTTTGTCTTTTTCATTTTTATCTGTACCGGGGATCGAACTCACGACTGCCTGCTTGCAAGGCAGGCGCTTATGCCGCTGAGCTAAATCTCCAGCCCCCAAAGTGCAATTTTTAAAATGAATTACGAGAAGATAGACATTGAAATTTTTTTCATTTTCAGTGTGGCATTTCCTCCCCCCCCCACTTTTATATTTTAAAGCTATTTCTAACAGTGTATAAGTTTACAATTGTTCTTGTACTCAGTTCCTTTTCTATTGCCTTTTATGTACAGATTTTTTTTTTCTTTTTTGGTTCTGGGGATCAAAGTCACAGCCTCATGCTTTGCCAGGTAGGCACTTAACACCACTGAGCTAAATCCCTGGCCCTGTACAGATCATTTTTATCACCAATAATGTTTTTTTGCCTCCTAGACTATTATATCCACATTAATAAGCAACACCAATTTTATGTTGGTCTGTATTTAACTGTCATTACCTTCCTATCCTTTTCGTTTCATATTTTCGGTGCACTATACTTCTTATAAACAGCAGATAATTGCATTTTATTTCTGAGTGTGCTGTACTTATTTCCTTCAAGCTCTACTATGTAATGAAAAGAATGTCCTTATGTCTTCTCTAAAATGCTTAGGTCTTCATTTCCAGAAAGGTTTAGCTTTCTTATTAGCAGAAAGAAGGGTCTCAGGTGCTGTTATTTAAGAAGCTTCATAAGGACAGTTGTTAGGTTTTTGTCCACAGGATATTAAAAACTGGAAGTTTCTCTTCCTTGGCTTGCATTGTCCCATCACATCAAGCACGTCCTTAATTTCATCTTGTCTCTGCCTGGCATCTGCAGTCAAATTTTGCAGTTTCTCTGCTTGTCATGCTTTGTGCTAATCCACTGCACCAGAAACAAATCGATGATAAAATAGACATTGTGTCACTTCCTTGAAAACAGACTTTGAGAATCAGGTCTCCCAAACAGAGTTCCCTAGATCCTTGGAAAATGAAGTTACTATTGACCTCCTCTGCTGAACCATGGCTCTCACAGCTTTGGGGCGATTCTCTGATTTTCACCAACAGCACAGCCAATTACACTAACAGTCTTGGCTTGCTGGGGCTTCTTTTCTTCCTTTTTCCGCCTCTTCCCCACTTGAGGTAAAAAGGTCTTTAGCTAGTATTTATTGAATACTTACTATGCCATGGCCCTCTCTTAAGTGTTTGGTCTATTGTATAACTTCATCCTGACAAGTCTGTAAGACAGTTTGTTTGTTTTGGCACCAGGAATCAAACTCAAGACCTTGCGTTTGCTAGGCAGGCACTTTGTCACTGAGCTATGTCCCCAACCCATCATAAGATAGTTATAACTGTTCTCCCTCTACAAGGAACCTATAAGTTTGGGATTCTACTAGGGCTAGGCTGGAGTAGAGTGAAAAAAGTGGCCAAGTCTCCCTGATATAAAATCTCTCCTCATCTGGCCTGGGCTCTGTTTTCCCATGCAGTCCTACGGATGACTTGTCTTTGATTTCTAGTCACCCAATAAATAATTCTGTGACCTAATTAATCCTCTAGGATTCAACTGCCTCATCTTCCAGCAATAAGTTCTCTGAGCACCCTATACACAATGGGGTCATGACTGGTGGTCAGCTGGGGAGACAACGGCCCCCAGCTCTTAGAGCTTAACCTTTTTGGGCATCTCTGAAACTCTTAACCCCACACCCCAAGATGAGCTGGAAGCTTACCTGGCTCCCTGCTGGGTACCTTGTGACATGGCCCTTCCCAGCCTGTGCTGCTCAGACTAGGCCCACAGGGGTGGGAGACAGAGCATGGCATGAAGGTCACATACTGGCTCCTCTGCCTCTTTGTGTTCTGGGGGAAGGGAGGAATGACCAGTAGTCTTTAGGGTTCATCTTGGCCCATCTTTTGGAGAGAAGGCAGAAGGATAGAAGCAGGTGTTTTTGCAGTAAACAATAGCCCTATGCTGTGAGCATGACAACTGTCCCCATACTGCATAGTTGCAGTCGCCAACTAGCCACGGGAGAGGCAGCACCTTTCCCTTTTTTTTTTTTTAATAATCGGTACCGGGGATCGAACTTACAACCGCCTGCTTGCAAGGCAAGTGCTTATGCCACTGAGCTAAATCCCCAGCCCAGCAGCACCTTTCCCAAAGGGCCTGGGGAGCCACCCCCTGTCTCCCAGAGCATCCATCGCTCACTGGCCTACAGGTTCCCAAATTGTAGCTCACTGCTGTTTGGGCCTTTTCAAAATCCCCTTAAGAGAACAGACGTCACCTTCACGAGGTACCAGTTGCTGAGTGGAGACCCTGCCCTGCAAGCAGACTCCAGGAGAAATCAGGACGCTGCTCACAAAGGAGGGATGGATAAGAAAGCAAAGAGAAAGACTGGAGCCCCCGGGGGCAGAAAGCAGCTTCTGCCTCCGTGGATCTGTGAGGCGGGACCAAACCTCCCAGAGGAAAGTGATTGTCCAAGGACAGTCCAAGGTCTGTAGCAAATCTAGAACTAAAACCTGGGCCTCTCAGTTCCCCAGCTGGTGGCCCCACAGCACACAGCATTTTGGTACAATGCTGGTTCCTTTATTAGACTGGAGACTCTCTTGGTAAATACTGAGGTTGCTGGCATATGGCTAGCAAGGGATTCCAAGTGACACAACACCTTACCCTGTCCTGGGGAGCTCAATAAATTACAACTATAGACCAGGGTTTAGCTCACTGGTGGAGTGGATTCCATCTCCAGCACCCAAAAATAAAACTAAAGATACATATTAAACAGAGAAGAAATCCCATAAAAATAAAATCCCCATCTTTCATTACTTTTTATTCCCACATATCTTTTCTATCACTGATACATTTTTATTTGGCATTATATTGCATCAGCCTGCGGTGTCAGGCTAGGACACCAAAAAAAGAAAAAAGAAAAAACAGGGGGCGTCACTGCCAAACAGTGTCTTGCCTTATCAGCCCTGCTTTTTGGGGTGTCTTGTCTTATCAGCCCTGCTTTTGGGGTGTCTTATCTTATCAGCCCTGCTTTTTGGGAGCTCACCCAGAAAGAAATGAAGTACATTCACCTTGATTTACAGCCTGCAGGGCCAGAATTTCCCCGGGTGCTCTGCTCCCAAACTGGCTACTAAATTCTCAATTTGCTGACACCCCTCCCCTTCCCCACCCCAGGTGGTGAAACGCTATGAATGTTGTTAAGACGCTGTTTAAATGCAGAATGTTATTATCACTATATATCATTCCGATCAGCTTTCCGAGTCGTACCAAAGATGTCAGGATGATGCAAGCCAACATTTTTATTATTTAGGATACAGTATATGAAGTTTATGTTGATTACTCTGAGTATCATCTTTGAAAGATAACTAGCATGAAAATGTTGAAAATGCCCCACTTTTGCAATCATATTTGCATAGTGTACAACACAGTTGAGCAGGAAAAACTATCTTAAGTGGTGTTTTTCATCTGCTGTCAGCTTTGTCCTGCTTGCTTCAACTGGGTACATGCGGCAGGACAAACGCTTACTGTTGGTTTTTCTTTTTAATATCAGCTTTACATTATGTAATAACACTATTCGTGTTCCTTCTAGAAGGCTGCAGCACGCAGTTGTAAGGAGCTGGCCAGACTTGAATTCCAATTGCAGTTTGCACTTGATAAAGTCATTTAACCACTCTGCAAAACAGCCACCTCTTTGTACAGTGGGGTTGTCACAGCTGGGAGATTGTAGATCATACACAAAACCCATAACTAGCACTGTGCGTGGCTCAGGATTGCCAAGCCATGATCCCCTTTGTTTTCTGTGCAGTGTGTTGAAATGCCCATTAACTGCATTTGAAAATCCAAAATTGAAAGGAAGCCCGCATTCCCCACACTGTACTTGCAGCCTGTGATCCTTTGTACCACCCCCAGCAGTGTTATATATGCAGATAATCTGTTTGAGGCTGCTGAATGCAGAGGGGACACTGACTTTATTTTATGAACAATAGTTAAATATCTCCTGAGTGCTGGCTACTGGGAAATAAATATTCTAGATTTCATCTATTCATTCATTCATTACAAACAAGCTATCTTCCCACTGATCCACTCCTTCTCCCTTTTCCCCTGTTCCTTTAAAAAAAAATTTAAAAAAAAAAAAAAAGTCCCCCAGGCCTCGTACGGTCTTTTTGCCCAATTGGATGCTATTTTTCATTTTCGTCTTGTCACCACCTAATGTCCAAATTTATTTAAATCATCCTCAGACACAATCCTATAAGATATGAATCACATTCAAGGCTTCTTTTTTTCCCTTCTAACTTGTCAGCCGTCTCACTTATGATTGACAAGATTTCCATATCAGTCATTCCTACTAATTCTGCTTCAAATCTGTATATTTAATGAACACACCAATTGGCACCTCATTATCACTCAGGGCCATTTTTTTGAGCATGATGCACTGATTATAGAACTGACCTTGCTTCATGGCTGCCTCAGGTTTAAATTTCAAAGAAAGCCTTGTCCAGCGTGCCTTAAAACAATATCTAGCACGTGGATCCAATCATTAGATCCTCCCTCTGGCTTCCACCTATATGTGTAGGAGCAGTCTTCCTGCTCCTGGCAGACTTTTAACACTTTCCGCCGGTTTGAACCACTGGTGGTCCATGCATGACTGTCCCATCAGCTGGGTGTATTGCTGGGAGTAGAAGTGGGACAGTCATCCAGGGGACAGTCATGCATGTGGAGACCACAGCAAGATACACAGATCACGGCCCTGTCATGAACGTGTTAAACACAGACATGGTTCTTCTCCTTATAAAGGTATGTTGAATTGTATAACTGCACAAAGACTAGGAGAAAACCAGAGTTTGCCTGCACCGAAAAACAGTCCCAGCTCTCCAATGCCAACACAATCTGACATATGCTAAAAACTGCCTGAAGCACTGGTGAGTTATAGTTCTTCTCCCTGGGGCAGATAATTCATTAGGAAATAGCCTCATGCCCTGCGTAGCAATTGAACAAAAATATTTACTTGCAGTAATATCAGATGATAAAGGTACAGGGTTGCTTTCAGAATGAGAGGGGGAGGGGAGGCCTGCAGTGGATGCCCATCATAAGCATTGCAAATGAATCATTAGTCTTCATCTGCAATCTAGGTCAGGCTGGGAGGGGGACTTGTAAATCTGCTCTCTGCTCAGGTTGAATCTGCTTATGTGTAGACACAGGAGGCAGCAGTTATGCCGTTCGGGAGCAGCCTAGAGGGAACAGGAAGATGCTTTCGCCTGCTAAAGGAACCACTACCTGACCCAGAGAGTAATCAGAAATAAAGAGGGTCATACTTTCGACGTATGTTGTTTACAGACACTAGTTTCCACTATGTTTCTCTGGTTAACTTTTCCGGCCTCAAGCAGTGTCTACCAGATTTCAAAAGGGAGAGAATATCTTCCAGATTCAGAATCATGTAGATTCCTTAAAAAAAAAAAATCATTCTTGCTGTGGGAAAAGGACTTTAGAAATCACCTAGTCATATTAAAGGAGATCTGATTCCAGAAGGAAAGGATTTTCCTTGCCCAAGGTCATACAAGGGTTTTGTACCATGCCAGTTTATTTTTCTTTTGGCTTTTTAAAAAAATATTCCTCTTCTTGCACGATATGACCAATTTACTAAATAACACTGAAACAAAAGAAATTGACGGGATGACTGCCTCCCAATAGGCTGATTTGGGATTGGAGACCCTACCCACGCCCTATCCCTTCTCCCAAAATGACTTAAAAAAAAAAAAAAAAGGATGCTAAGGGGTGAGGTCTTTCCTCAAAGTCTCCTGTGATAGCTTTCACGTGATTATTCTGGGGATATATTGTGGCACTTGATTCACTTGATCAAAGGGCTCTGATACTTCCTGTGGCTCCCTTCCTAAGCCTGAAGGTCACATGAGGCTTGTTGGGTATGTTTTCCTAAAAAGGCTCTGAAACGGTGTTGCAAGCAGAGAAATTTAAGTAGAAAAATGTGAATTTAAAAATTCAATCCAAACTAAACTCCAAGTCAAGGTACTTAATAGGGTAAGCTATTTCATTCCCTGTAGTACACATTTTTATTTTTAATTGACACATAATTTCACATATTTATTGGGAACAGAATGATGATCTGATACATGTGTACAATATGTGGGGATCACACCTGGGTAATTAGCACTTCTATGTCCTCAACAGTTTATTATTTCTGTGTTGGGGACCTTCAGACTCTTCTAGATATTTAAAAATATACCATAAATTATTGACAAAATATAGATACCTTGGGCTATTCTTTTATTTGCCAAAGCCATAAGAAAACTTTTAAAGTTCAAATAGGATGTGAGGAAAAAATACACAGCAAGAAAGGAAGAGACCCAGGTTTGTTAACTTTCCCTGTGAATTCACTACAAGACATCTACACGGAGCGTGGAAGCCAGGCTTCCACCTGGCTGGGCCTTAATCTCCCCTGTTTAGGAGGAAGAGAGGAGGAAGAACCAAGCAGTGTTTAACTCCAGCAGCAGCAGCACCATTCAAGGAACACCTCCAAAATCGTTTGGTTCTTTTTTTTTTTTTTCTTTTGGAAAACATAATATCTACAGCACTCTCTGCAGTTATTTCCAAAGATGTAACTGAACTGACATTCAGAGAACTCAAAAATGCTTCTACGTCTATATAAAGCTTTCAAAGAAGTAGTTTCACTATTGAAATAATTTTCCAAAACAGTGTCACTGGGCGAAACAGGCTGTATATCTAACCAGTATTTTCCCTGTTCAGATTGACGGATAAAGCTCCCCTCCACCCACCACTGCTCCATCTCTTTTTCTATCTCTTCTGTCTCTCTCCCTTAATTTTAAAACTATTATGAAGGCCTAAAGAGCAAGCGAGTATGCGCACACACAGATAAGTAAGAACAAGATTGGTTTTATTTGGCTGCATATTTCACTGGGACTGGAGTTTCATATTCTGCAACTGGAAGGTGATAGAATGTTCTATTTCAGGACATCTTTAGAATGGAGGAGTCTGCTTCAACGTCCTGCAGAATGTTATTTTGATTTCTGCCACAGGAGGAACCACTTCTCCTGAATGCAAACACCAGCAAAGAATGCGTTAGAGAATCCGCCATCATATTAAAAATTAAATCCGGCTGCATTTCATAATGGGCTTTCCTTTTTAAAGCACAGCTTTATCTTCTCACGGTGGAAATTGCGCTCGGATGGATGTTGTCTACCGTTGACACTGAAACGCTGGCTGGGGTCAGAGCTCTGCTTCTCTGAACAGGGAGCCACAAATGTCACCCACACATGGTACGCTTGGCAAATAATATATTTCTTTCCAGACGCCTATCTCTTCGGTCTGCCTGACTCAGGTCTTCTGCTCCTCCTAAGCAGAAGAGTTTATTACTCTGGTCTTCCTACCTTGCTTTGGTGGGACCAGCAGGCAGCATGCACTTTACAATGAATTCAGAAGGGCACCTCTTTTGATTTTTGTTGTTGTCTTTATTTTAACCTCCAAGAAGAGAGAGAGATTTAACTCAGTCTTCACCCCAGGCTAAGCTAATACTTAGGTCATGTCTGAGCTCTCTGGGGAAGTGCCGCTTTATCCCATCCGAGGGGCAATGGTCTTTTTAGTGGAGCAGTACAGCTGTCCAGCCATATGGGCCTCAAACAGCCCAGTCAATCGGATTTGGGGAGGTTTTACAATGTAATTTCTTAGCGTGTTAGTATTTGGGGTGAGTTTGATCAGGAGCATAGACAGCTCTTAAGCCCAAGGGTTTAGGTTTTAAGAAGCCATCACAAACGTCCCAGCAGCATCCGATCAGACGAGTTAAAAACAAGAGATCTGGAGCTGGGGGAGGGGAAAGGACGCCTCACCCCCTGGTCGGAGAAAGCCCCAGGGGTATGCGCTAACTATTAATTCAGCATCAGCTGCTTTTATTCACCCCCTCCCCTTTCTTTTTTAACCCGGGCTCATCATTTAAGGCGTTCCCACTCGGGCCTGTGGAGCCTGTTACAAAACCATCGCTCTGCTTCCCTCCCCCGCTGCCGCAAGATGAGAGCGCGAGGATCCTGCATTGCAGGAAAGGCGCTGGAGCGACCGCATTGAAACCGTCCTCCAGCTAAACGAAACCAGGCCCGCAAGCAACGCCAAGCAGAGGCAATAGCCCTCCGTCCCTCTCTTGTCTGACCTTCAGTGGAGAGCAACGAAGACGCCTGTCACTAGCCCCATCCTTCCACGTAGCAGGGATTCAGAAACTACCTGGAATTCGTAATAAATAGAACACAGTGGTGAATCTAAAACCCTGCCCAAAATGGTGGCGGTCTTGAGCCAAGGCGCCACCAATACAGTTTTTCCATCAGAAAAGTATTTTAGTGGAAGGGAACGTTATCGCAATGATTTAAGTTTTCCTCTAGAGAGATGGCTTTTTTCCAACCAGCTACAGCCTTTACATTAAAAATCTAGTGCATGGATGTTTCACACACACACACACACCCATACAGATTTCCGCTTCTTGAAATTTACAAAAACTGCTTATTTTCTAAGCTCGAAAGCGGTCCAGCCGTGCATTGTTGGAAAAAAAGCCAGCGCTGAGAGGTTTTGAGCTCACTATTCTTCGTTTAGGGCAGACACTCAATAATGGAGTAGAGCCGAGGTGGCCTGGAAGCTAAAAGGGCAGCGCCCGGGGCCGCCACCCGTTGGGCCCATACCGGCTGGCAGGCGCCTCTGCGGCCTCCGGAACCTTTCGGCCGTGCGCTCGGGCAGCGAGGTTTCAGGAGAGCTGCTCTGAGCTGCCTGGGCCTGTTCTCGCATCACTTTCTGTCCTGTATCCAGAGCTGCCTAAGAAACCCTTGGAATTTTTTTTTTAACATACAAAAACAGAAAGAAGGAAGGAAAGAGACAGAGAAAGAGACTGACCCGAGTGGGGAAAGCAGATGGCCCTGTATGTGCCTAAATATCCCTTTGGAGAGACCGCGAAGATCTCTCCTCCGGCGTGCGGGGTGGGGAGGGGGGTGTTACTGGAGGGTCAGGCAGGGGTGTGCCGGTCTCTGGCTTTTGCTCTTTGGAGCGGATTTTGAGTCCTTTACTTAAAGCGCTCAGAAAAAGACACCCAAACACCCGTACAAGCACCACAATAAAAGGCACTTCCCCGAGGTGTGTCCACAAGTCTGCGGGACTGGTGGCCCAACCAGGAGATGCACTTCAGAGCCTCTCTAATCTCCGACGTCCATCTGGCCCAGGCGGGCGCGCGCGGGCCGGAGGGCGCGAGGAGGGGCGGGGCGCGCGCGTTGCCAGGGGCGCGGGCGCGCGCGCCCGCTCTCCTTCACGTTCACCTTGACTGCTGGGGTGGGGTGAGCCTTTATCTCCCTACACACCTTTCTCCCCACCCCCAGCCGCTGTCCCGCCCAGACGCCAGCCCCGGGCGGGGTGGGAGGGGGAGGCGGGAGGCTGCTCCCGCGCTCGCTAGGGTCGCCGCAGCGTCCCGGCAGCCACGCGCTCTCCGCAGTGATGTCAACAGCATCCGCTGCAGTGCCCCCCAAACCCACCCGCCCCCGCCTCGTCTGCGCCGCGGCCTGTGAGAACCCCAGCCCTGGGGCGAAGGGCAGGCGGCTGCGAGACCCTCCCCCCTTCTCCGTGTGCCGTAGTGCGAAGCCCGCATCGTAGACCAACCGCGGCGCGGCGACCACTGGGGCGCAGGCGGAAAGGGACAGAGAGGAGGGGGCCAGGGAGACAGGTGTAGATTTGACACCCTGAGCGCCAGGAGGGCCCTGCCCAGGCCTGGAGCCTCCAGGGTGGCATGAGGAGGCCGGATGGCGAGCAATGAGCACTGCAGATGCGGCGGGTGGGGCGCGCGAGGGGAAGGCGCCCCCTGCTCCCGGGATGGAAACGGATAAACGGAAGCGCATGCGGGGGGAGGGGGTGCGAATCGCCACCTCCGGCCTTGGCTTTCCCGCTCTTCCGAGCGCTCCCATTTCTCACTTTCCCCAAATCCGCATTTTCCTTGGCACAGTTCTCCCAAGCACCAAGGAGAGAGAGGGAGGTGCCCGGGGGCAGCGAGAATGACGTGCGCTGGTGCAGAGGGGGTGGGGGCTGCGGGCCGGTCTCTGAGCTCGGGCTCCTAATCCTCTTGTTTCGGAACCGTCAGCAGATGCGGCTCCTCTCAGCTGAATAATCCATTAAAGGAATAATAATTTTTTTTTAAAAAAGGGGATCGATCTCACCAACGAGGACTAGGAACCAGATCGGGGCTTGGTAAGGATACGGGGGAAAAGGTTCCAAATTGTCTCCCGTTCCTTTCTGCCTTCCTCTCTCACCCCCCTCCAGTTCCCTCCTCCTCGCTCTCCTCCCCTCCCCCCCCTCCCCCATCCCCTGCAATCCGCACTCGACGCGAGTTCACGCGCAGGGCTGGATTTCCAGGCTGCACCGCAACTTCGCTGCGCGTTATTATCATCTGAGAGCGCTGCCTCCACAACCTTTGCCTCCTGCGCTCGCATCCTTCCCCCCCGGTTCCCGCTGCACGCATGCTCTGGTTCACCAAAGGGAGAGTCTGAATTTTTTTTTTTAAATCATGATCATCACCACGATGCCCCTTCTCTTGGTTATCATTTCCTCCTGCCAGGTGGGGCGACCACCAGCGCCTCCTCTGCGGGCTTGGCCCTTCTCCGGGCAAGGGAGCGATTTGGGCTCGGACCCAGCAAGGCTTCCTGGATGCGGGCTCTGCCTCCGCATTCCTCCCTCGTCCATCTGCATGTATATCATTCTCTCCATCCCTTTTATTCCAGTAGATTCACCGCCTTTGGTTGGGCTGGCTCAGATGCTGCTACGAACCACAGTCTCTTAAAAAGGAGGAAAAAAAAACAGATGAAGACCTTGGGTGGATGCCGGAACAAAGCAGCGTGGGCTCTCGGGCGAGAAGCGACGCGCTGGAGCCGTAGCTCCAGACTCCGACAGGAGTGATCTCCGCCGCACAGCAACGCCCGCGGTGCGCGCGGATCTCTCAGGGTATTCGGGATGAATTTTCTTGATCTTTTTGACATAGCTTTAAGTGCCAGGGTTAGAACTAGGGTTGGGGTTGTTGGTTTTTTTCTGGAGGATCAGTCAATGGAGGACAATTCGGAAGGATCTAACTCGGCTTTCCTGGCCCCCCCCCCCCCGCTTTGCCTTCTTCAGAGGTGGGTACTGGGAAAGGGGAGCGGGGACCAGAAAGCTTTGAAAAGCTAAACAGCAGCCGGACGTTGCTGCTGCTGCTCTACAGGGCTCAGGGCTGGTTGGGCGAGGTAGAGATGAGTAGGACGGGCCAGCAGAAGGGTGGCGGTCCAGGGGGGGCCGAGGCTTGCCAGGGATGGGAATCTGGGTGTCCACGGAGAGGACCTGCCCATGAGAAACTGCCGTGTCCCTCTCCGCGCAAAAAGAGGCGGCGGCTGGGTTTGTGTGTAAACAGTGGAGAGGTAGAGGAGGAAAAGGGTGGTGGGGGCTTCCAATAACGTCTTATTGTCCCTTTGATTCTGAGGACTCTCCTCCGCTCCCTTTTTTTAAACTCTGGGATCCGGCCACATTTTATACCGGTGACCTTTGAAATCTACGCCCACCTTTAGCCCGGTAAAGCCCATTGGCAGCAAGGGTGGGGTGGAGAGAATGTAGGGGTGTCTGTCTCCCTCCTCCTCCCTCCCTTCCCTTCCCCCCTCTTTTCCTCTCCCTCCCTCTCTGTCTCCCTCGGCCCCCCCATCTCTCTCTTCCTCCCTCCCACCTCCCTCGCTCCCTCCCTCCCTGCTACATTTTGCATGAGCTATCTAGGTCATTAGCATTTTAGCGTATGCAAGACTTGACAAAGCTGATGAGGGGCCAGATGGGCCTCGCTCTTATGGCTTTTTTTTTTCTCCCTCTTTTCCTTTTTCTCCTACCACTTGGGACCTGAACGAGAGGACTGCATCAGCAAGGAGGCCGCTCCCCAGATCCTGGCCCCGGACCCAGGCAGCTCGCCCCTGCGGCAGAACTCGGCCCGGGCTGCGTCTGGACTCAGCCACTCAGGTAAAGGCGGCAGCCCTGCGCCTTGTGCCCTGCTCGGCGGCAGCCGCTGATCCCCTGCTGCCTCCTGGTCCCCTGCTCTCCTCTTATCCCTCCTGATCCCCCTCGGTGTCCTGATCCGAGCTGAAATGGGTGGGCAGGGTTTTCTGCTCGCCGGGGAAAGATGGGGAAGATGTTGTTTTTTCATTGTCTAGAGCTGCGCGCAGAGGAGGTGTAGCGCGCGGGGTGAGAGCTAGGGGAGCTGGGGTAATTAACACGGGGGAGGCACCCACACCCCCAACCCCCACCCCTCCGCTTTGCAGGAAAAGGCCTGGATGCGGGAGAACAAAGAGCCTTTGGAAGACGTCGCGGTTATCTCATTGTCTGCGCGACTAGGGGAGCTGCGGTAGGGAGGGTGCTGCGGTCCTTTCCTGCCGGCGCTCCCCGCCCCCACCCCTCCCGCTGTCAGCGCGCACGCACTCGCCCGCTTTTTATTCCTCTTTCCTCTTTCCCTCACTCCTGACTTCTCCCCGCCCCCTCCCTTTCTTTCATCTTCCCTTACTTCCTCCTTCCCTTCCTTCCTCAGGATAAAGGCCTCTCTCTCCGTGTTCACAGCGGACCTTGATTTAAATGTCCATACAATTAAGGCACGCGGTGAATGCCAAGAATGGGGCTGGCTGAGCACCATGGGCCGAGCGCCCACCGAGGAAGGAAGGAGCCGCTGAGCCTGGCCGGGCTTGCCCACCTGGTGGCCCTGCACCAGACCTGGACCTGAGCCGTGGGGCGGGGAGGTGTGTGGCTCAACACCGAAAAGGGTTTGGAGAGCGCAGGGACCTAGGGAGGGAAGCAGATCTGGTCACAGACAGACCTGTGCTGGTGCAGATGGGGGTGGGAGGAGTTCCGCGAGCCTTGGCCAAGGACTGCTGTGCTGTTTCTCTCTGGGCTCCTGTGCCTAGAACATGGATGGGCACCTTTTTCTGTGGCCATGTTTTTGTTCTGGATTTAGCCTTTAGTTTGCCTTTTAAAATAACAATAATAATAATAATAATTTGACATTCAGGAGACTGGCAGACTGCCCCAGGATTGGGCTGCAGTAGATTGTCTTCTGCTTGAGGTTTCGGATGGGGATTATTTGCAAGGCAAGGGAGCTGCTTGTCACCCTTTGCTGTAGGCTGTGGGTACCTGAGGACCCTAAGGACCTCACTGGGCTCTGCAGACAAGAAGAAATAAGCTCCTGGAGGTTTCACAAGCTGCATCAGGGCTGAAAGCCCAGCAGTCCAGGGGCTCCAAAGAGCCCTCCCACCCATCTTGCTGTTCCTCCAGTTCCAGGCACATATCCAGGAGCTACAGTGCAAGGGAGAGGTGCAATAACCCACGCCTACCAAAAGGAGGGCTGCAGTCCTCCTAGAATCTGAACAGAAGGAAAAACAGCGTGTGTACAAGTGGGGGTCTGAGGAAAGACTTGTTTTGAAAGAGGCTGTCAGGGCACAGAGGGGTTAATCTCCCCTCATCTTGAAGACCCTCATTACCAATTCCAGCCTTGCTCCCATTGCAGTCCCCAGGCTGCAGCTGGTTCTGCAGACCCCATCACAGTCCCATCCCACCCCCAGATCAGCCAGCTGCGGCGGATGGTGCAGGATCCGAACTCATTAATTTCCAGGTGGAGAGAATGGAGGAGGGGTTGGTCCCCACAGCAGAGGGAAGGGCAGGGAAAGGAGGCCAAGACCCAGGAAGCCTGCCGTAGCCCTTCCCCCCTGGTGTGGCCACAGGCTGTCTGCAAGGCCAGGGCCACAGCGGATGCCTAGGAGTTTAATTTGATTCCTGATAACGGTAATTGAGGCCTACCCAAGTGTCCATAAAAGCTTATTGAAGGTCTTCTCCCCAAAGCCTCAGTCTAGCCCAGGAAATAAACTAGTATTCCACGACACCCGAGGGTCAGAACCCCTGCTGGCTGTTGTCATCACAGGTATTCATTTGAGTGCCGATGTGCCTGTCTTTGTGCAATTATTACATCTTAGGTTCTCTTGGCCCTCCTAACGGAGTGCTTGGAGTCAGAGAGGCGGAGACTAAGTGTGCCACACCCTACCTAAGTACCTCCTGAACCTTCTCTGGGCCTCAGAAACACACCCCATCCTCCTCCTTGCCCCTGCAGAGGGAAGGCTGCAGTGTACATCATGCGACTGCGGCAGCTACACTGCCCCCAGTCCCAGAAGGCAATCTTGGCAGCAGGACAGGGAGAGAGCACTGCTCTCACTCGAGCCTCAGCACAGATGATCCCAAGTGACAGTACCCACTGGCTCTACAGTGCACATCCCTGGACACCAGTGGCCCCCTCATGCTAGGTGCCTTCTGCCCTTTCTGGCTGGGGAAAGCAGCCAGTGTGCTTTTCCTTCCTGGGGGTGCCTCCTCTGACTGACCCCTACCATGCTCATAGAGAAGGCTGATCTAAGCCTTTGATGCCCTCGCCCCACAAAAGTCTGTATTAGCAAGTCCCTGCTCTAGCTTCCCTAAAATTCCTTCAGATGTTGCTGTACCCTCACGGATGGGCCCTGGAGGTACAGTCTCCCCATGAGTTGCCCTTTTAGGTGGAAACCTGACCTGCTGCTCCCAAGAGCTTTCCCCCAGGCGCCATGGGTAAGGCCTGCCTGCCTTTCTACCTACCGGGGTTTCCAGCGCAATCTACCCTGACAGGCATGAAGTTTTATATTTATTCCTTACATAAACTCATTCCAGAAAGCAGGAGTGGTGTGGGTTTGCTGCGTCTGAGTGCAATGATAAGAGTATTTGCCTGTGTCCACCATGTGGTTTTTTGTGGAGCTTTAATGGCCCTCTCTGCCCCCTGTGTAATTTCAAGGTCCCTTTTTGTGTTGACCAAATGAAGGATCAGCAAAGGTCAACCAGATCTGCCTCCGTTCCTCTAAATTCAGGGCCTATTTATGCCTAGAATAATTAAGCAGAGAGCCTAAAGATTCTGCTCTTTGAAGTTATTTCATCCTCAACATCGTCTTTTCTCCTGTTTGAGCCCTCAATTTCATCATACAGCTAAGGCCAAGAGTGAAATATGTATCGTTGGAAATGTAGGGCAGAATTGACGCAGTGCGCTGACCAAGTACATTAAGAAGGTCCCCTGGGTTCAGGTACACCGCTGGTCCTGTCCTCATCAGCGTGGGAGCACCTGTGTTTCTCAAGGTAACTGTGACCATTACTGGATAGATTGTGCCAAAGGGAAAATTGCTAATCTTTCCGCCAGAGACAACCGAGATCTGTTTCAGAGGGAGGGGGTAAAAAATTGACCCTTTAGGGGCTGGGGATTTAGCTCAGCGGCATAAGCACCTGCCTTGGAAGCAGGCCTTCGTGAGTTCGATCCCCGGTACCAATAAAAAGGAAAAAAAAAATTGACCCTTTATCAGAAGCTACGCTAAAGCCTAATTATTTGGTATCAAAGGGGGGAGGAGCTTCTGTGACCCAGCCAGGAGCTTTAACTGGAGAAATTGACCTTTAGGGGAGACATGAGCCCTCCAACAGATGCATACCCCCATTTTTCCCACCGGCTCATATTTATAGTAAGATACTTAGACACACACAAAAAACCTGGCTGGTCATAGTCTCCACGGGGAAATTTTCTTTCCTAGTTGAACTTGTGCCCACCCCCCACTCCAGCCTCAGCACACAGTTCTTGCTCTGGGGGCAGCTGCATATCCTTTTCCCTGGGACAGATGGAGCTACCCTTCCTCACTGGCTCTGTGGGTGGCTTTGGAGCCCTGTGAGTCAACACGAGCTGACTGGGGAGTGTGCTGGTGTGGTGTGTGTGTGTGTACGCACGCGCGCATGCACTTAGCCTTGGCGGGCTGATTCACACTGAGGAGGATGTCAATATCCACGATGAGAATAATGGTTCTAATAAAGATTTTTTTTTTCCACTTCCAAGTTCCATCTACAGTTCTTTCATTGTTTTTTTTTGTTTGTTTGTTTGTTTTTGCCAAATCTTACTCAATTTGATTTTAAAAAACATTCAAAACTTAATGACATCTCAAATGTGGACCTAGAAAAAGAAAAAGGACCTCAGATGGAGTTACTGGAGGCCATGGCACAGTGTCACTCTGGCCCAGGGGTATGAGGGAGCCTGGAGAAGAGGTCTTGAAACCCCAATTTTGGGTAGCAGATGGGACTGGAGGAGCCGGTTCTCCTGAGAGCAAAGAATGGTCCAGGTCTCAAAGTGTCAGCAACTCTCCAATACCTTCACCATAGCACTTCCTGATCCTTCTTTTGTCTTGAAATGTAAACGCTACCTTGAAATGAGGGCCTGGGCCATGCCACAGAAGCCCCATGGGACGCATCCCAAAGGGCTTTTGCCCTCAGAATTACAGTACAGGTGCAGGGTCATTTTCAATTCTAATGCAATCTATTTGTTGTTCAAGCATATACCCAGGACAACAGTAGGACCTGGGACCCAGGGGGCAGTGCGACTTTTACTACTTGTGTCGCCTTTTCATTTTCCGGAGCCTCGGGGTGCAAGGTACAACCTGTCAGGGATTCGATTTCCACCGCAGGATCCTCTCCTTTTTCCCCTCATGCACCTACACATAGCAAGGCAAAGATAAACGGCCCTTGGCTTTCCCTTTTCTCCATTTTGATTTCTTTCTGGAACTAGGCACACTTGGGACCCCCTTCCCCAGACAGGTCACCAGCTTTTCCCAAGGCTTTGGACTGAGACCTGGCGTGCGTGAATGCGAGTTTCTTTCCATCGTGTTCCAGAATGTGCCCCATCCTAAAGTCCTAAAGCTCGAGGGGTGCAGAGGAGTCGGCTCCAGCCCCACGGGGCCACCGGCAGGAGAGAACCCGGGGCGCCTGCGCGTTCTTTCTACGCGCACCCCCGTCCCCCCAGCTTCACTCCGGAGCCACTCAGCCCTGACGGTGGACTTTATGAGAGGAAAGATCAGGGTGAGGACGGGGCGGGGCGCTTCGTCCTCAGCTCCGAGAAATGGGCCGCGCCAAAGCGGAAGCCATACCGGGCGCTGCCCAGCAAGCTAGCGACTACGGCCGCGGCCTGGACGCCGCGCGCCCGCCTGGCCTGTGGTCCTTCTTTGGGTCGCTAGGCCAGCACCCCACTGGAGAGGCCACTTGACGATCTGACCCTCAGACAAGGCCATGGAAACTCGCTTCCGGAAACACCCCTCTTCCCCACCCCCACAACACCCTCCAAAAAAAGCTAAAACAACAGAAATCCTCAATTTGCACGACACAGGACGTGCTCCACTTGGGGCCTTGGTGGGTTGGAAGGCAGCAGAAGGTCCTGTCCTCTCGAGCCCCTGACCAGAGCAGATCTTTTTAATGAAGGAGGGAAACCCCTTCCACTTTCTCACTATGGGGCCCTCTAGGGTGCCGCGTTGGTGCTTCGAGTCCTCTTTGGAGCAGCCTAAAATAACCTCTACAGCCCTGATTCAAGGTCAGGCATGGCCTGCAGGGATCCCAGAGGTCACAGGGCAGGGCAGGAAGACGCTGACTCAGGTGGTGGCCCCAAAGCTGAACCTGGGGAATGTCCACCGGGGCTTCACTGCCCCCCCCCTGCAACGACTAATGTGACGATGTTTATGCCCATTTAATTGAGACATTGGTTTAATTTCACATAGCTTCGGTTTAAGGCCCAAAGGGGTTATTGGCAGCGCTTTTCCCCAGTGCTTACACGGAAACTAATTGCTGTTAATATCCAATTTTGGCCTTATTATTCATTAACCAGTTACGTACCTGTAGCCCCAGCCTTGCTGCTGGTTTAGAAAACACCACACTGGAGGCTAGGGATTTAGCTCAGCAGCATAAGCACCTTGCCTTGCAAGCAGGCAGTCGTGAGTTTGATCCCTGGTACCGATAAAAATGAAAAAGACCAAAAAAAAAGAAAGAAAACACCACACTGCCCCCCCCACCCCGCCTCTGCCTTCACCCTGGCCTGCTTCCGGTCATCACACAGAGGTCATCTGTCTTTTTGTCTCCCCACTAGCTGCATTAGGGAGGTTGCTTAAAGGGCTCTTTTCCCTTTAGAGGAAAATTTCTTGGCAGCTGAAGTAAATAATTTTCATTATTTTCATAAAAGAAACGTAAGTTCCCCCACAATTCCCTCACTGCTTCCAGACTCCTCCGGAGCCATTTGTAGAGTAGGATTTTTCCACCCAAAAAACCCCCAGGTGTTTCTGCCTTGGGAGGCTTCCACCCCGCCCCCACTCGGCTCCTCTCCCCTGGGAACCCCAATCACAATGTCATAAAACCGCTGAACCATAGGATTCCCCAGATCCAAAGAGTGTACTCAGAGGACATCCGTCCACATTCAGAAGGAGGAAACCTGGAAAAGTGATTGGAAGGGCTCGGCCTCCTCACACAGCCCTGGGAATCCAGGATCCTGATGCAACTGGGTAGGGCAGCTTCAAAAAGAAAGCGCTTTCTTGCCCTGGAAGGAAGCAGGCAGTTCTCCTGGCTCCTGCTTCAGAAACCAAAATCACAATGACAGCAGAAGATACTCCTTTGTCTGCCTGCCCCACTTCCCCTGTTTGGAAATAAGGCTTTCCATGCCATCACGCACCCTCTTAGTTTCCTGAGCAGCCCTGTGGCTAGCAACTCCAAGTGTCCGCCTCATAACCAACCAGATGAGGAGGAAAGAAAATGTCAGAGCAGCTGGCTTCACTGCCCTCCCTCCCCAGGCCACCTGGAGACTTACCCACCAGCCTGGGAATCCTGTGGTCAGATTTGTCCTAGGGGGAAGTGGGTGGTGAGTGTTGGGGGGTTGGTCTGGGACATTGTTAAGAAGGTGCCTTACACATAAGGCTCAATGAATGCCACCCAAATTAGACATAATTAAATTAGCAGCAGCTGTCCTGCTTTTCCTGCAGAAAAACTACAATTATACACGAGGCCTCTTGGGCAAAGGCTAGATAAGAGTGCTCCCTCCACGCCAGCAAGGAGCTGAAAAACATTCCCAGTCCCTCTCGTAGTCTGCCGCCAGATATGTGGAGTTTTATTTTCAAACCGTTCACACGTGGCGAAGCAACTGCAGGCTATGCTGCTTCCAGGTGGAATTTCTAAAGGAACAAACTAGTCTCTAGAACCCTTCCCTTCCTTGGAGAAAGCATTGTCCCTTCTCAAATCTCACTCAGCACCACCTGGATTCACACCTCACCCAAGGCTTTCCCCCTGAAAGATAGATGTTAATAATAAGCATCTGCCTCCTTCTCTTTGCCCCCCGAACAAATCTATGCTGTCTGTATTCTCTAAGAGGTATCAGGACAAAGGAGGACGGGACTCCTTTATTTCCCACTAGGATGTGAACCCCTGGAAGTCACTTTCCCAGAGATAGTTTTTGCTGTTGTTGTTTATTTTAGTTTCAAAAAGGCGCTTACTAGTGGTGAAGTCTAATTGCAGGAGTTTTTTGTAATAGCACTCAGTAGGGGCAGGCAGAGTGCCCTCAGCCCTCAGCCTCTCGTTGTTCTGGGTGAGAATTACACGGTGTCCCCTTTGCTCCAGACACCGCTCTCCACACTCAGCCCTGCAAATGCATCCCCGAGAGGTAACTAATAAGTAAACACACTGGAAGGACTCAAAGCAGACCCTGGCAGTTTGGTCTCTCCGCTGCTTTTGCAATATCAGTGAGGCAGGGTAGGGCACCTCAAGCCTGTGACAGTGGCATCTGTGACTTCACCACGTTTAATGTGCCTCATCAGCACATGTGTTGTTAAAGCTCCCACATCCTAGCTGAGGGGACTCTCACCCTTTCACATTATTTTGTGTACTTCTGATTTCAATATTTCTATGAATCATGTTTAATTATTTGATTGAATCCAGGATCCAGTGACACAGTGAGTCCACTTCATCCCAGCAGCCCAAATGGGGCTCAGAGTGGCATCAGGCCAAAGTGGCAGCCGGGCAGGACTGGACTTCAGTGCTTTCTGGTTCTGGCTTAGTTCCCTTCCGCCCTCAGCTAGCCCTTGCCTTGTGGAACCAGAGCTTCCTCGCTACCCAAGCAGGAATGCCAGCCAGGGTCCCACTCTCACAGAGCACTAGCATGTCAAGCAACTGCAAGGCCAGGCCCTGGAGCCAGTGGTTGAGGGCAAGAGGCAGAGCGTATTGGGATTTTTAGCGGGCAACAGCAGGCAGCAGATGCAGCGACTGCTTCCCCAGCTCCCCAGCAGCCCTTGAAAAGACCGTGGCCTGGGAAGTATCCAGCGTGTCTCCCTCATCCCCGATTCCCCTCCTACCTCTGTGTCAGGCTGCATTCCTCCAGACCACTCATCAACAGCACCAGCCTGGCACACAAGGTGGCAGTGTGGCCCTGCTCCCAGCCCACATGGAGTCCCCATTGTGTCAAGCCTGTCTGGTCCAATTCCTAGATCACCTGCCACACTGCAGACGAAGACCTATCCAAAGCAGCACCCGGGGCAGCGAGGCAAGTGATTTACTGTGACCCTGGGTCTCTTAGAAGCCTCTAGCTTCATCTTGCATTTTTTGAGACTCCCAGGATACTAATAAATTAAGACATGCCAAAGCAGAGGCACCGGAATTGTGGTACATTTATAACACTTCTCAGTTCTGTTAGTAAGATAGTGCTACATGTACAGCACCTTTTAAAAACATTGCTAAAAAGTATAGATTGTGGTTTTTGGTGTTTTGTTTTGTTGTACGAGGGATCAAACTCATGACCTCACACCAGGAAGATAATTGTGCCACTGAGCTAAATCCCTAGCAATACCCTTCACAATTTCAGCAGAGAGGAGCATGTTCAGGCATCAGCCCCAAAAGGGTAATTAGTGTTCTGTGACTACAAACTCTGTAAGGAGACCACTGCTGCTTCCTCCCTAGCTCACCACCAGGCTATGCAATTTTCAATAAGTTACTAAACCTCTCTGAGCCATCTCAGTAAAAACATGGGGGAAAATAAGGATACA